GCAGCGCTGGGCGCGGATGTCGCAGTGCTCGCGCCGCGCACCAGCAGCAAAGATGCTATGTTCGCGGAAGGCTGACGGAAGCGCGCGGAAGTAAAATGAGGGCTGTTCCGCCGGCGGAAGCCGGCAGAAGGGCGGCGGAAGGGCGGCGGAAGTTGGCGTAAGCGAAAGCTGCGCCCCAGGAGATGGCAACATTTTCGGGCTCAGGGTTTCCAGATTCGGCCATGTGCTCGCGTCGGATGCACGCCTCCAAGGAGGACGCGCGCGCCCTTGCAGCCGCAGCGCTGGGCGCGCTTGTCGCGGTGCTTGCGCTGCGCACCGGCAGCACAGAGAACGCTCGGGTCTGACGCGCGCCTCCAAGGAGGACGCGCAGCAGTATGAAGTATGCATATATATACATATATCGATATACATGTGTATGTATATATGCACGCATGTCTGTATGCATGCACGTATGTATGCATGTATGTATATATGTATGTATGTGTATATGCATGTATGCATGCATAAATGTATGTATGTACGTCTGTATCTATGTGTGTACGTGCGTATGTATGTATGTATGCATGTATGTACGTACGCATGCATGCATGTATGCATGTATGCATGTGTGCATGCATGTATGTATGTATGCATGGATGTATGCATGCATGCATGTATTTATACATGCATGCATGTATGTATGTGTGCGTGCATGCATGCATGTATGTATGTATGTGTGTATGTATGTAAGTGCGTATGTATGTATACATGCATGTATGTACACATATATATATATATATATATATATATATGTATGCATGCATGTGTGTATTTATGTCTGTATGTACGGATGTATGTCTGTCTGTCTGTATGTATGCTTGTATGTACGTACGTATGTATGTATGCATGTATGCATGTATGTATGTATGTGTGTATGTATGTATGTATGTATGTATGTATGTGTGTATGTATGTATATGTGTGTGCATGTATGTATGTATGTACGGATGTATGTATGTCTGCACGTATGCATGTGTGTATGTTTTTATGTACGTACGTATGTAGGTGTGCATGCACGCATGCATGTATGTATGCGTGTATGTATGCACGAATGTTTGTGTGTGTATGTATGTATGTATGTACGAATGCATGTATGTATGTATGTATGTGTGTATGCATGCATGTATGTATGTATGTATGCATGTATGTATATATGTATGCACGTACGTATGTGTGTATGCATGCATGTATGTATGTATGCATGTGTGTATGTGTGTGCATGTATGTATGTTGTATGTATGTATGAACGGATGTATGTCTGTCTGTATGTATGTATGTATGGAAGTATGTATGTACGTATGTATGCATGCATGCATGTATGTATGTATGTATGTGTGTATGTATGTATATATGTATGACTGTATGTGTGTATGTATGTGTGTATGTATGTGTGTATGTATGTATGTATGTGCGGAGGTATGTATGTATGTATGTATGTATGTATGTATGCATGCATGTATGTATGTATGTATGTATGTATGTATGTATGTATGTGTGTATCGATGTGTGTATGTATGTACGTATGCATGTATGCATGCATGCATGCATGTATGTATGTGTGTGTATGTCTGTCTGTCTGTCTGTCTGTATGTATGTATGTATGTGTGTGTATGTGTGTATGTATGTATGTATGTATGTATGTATGTATGTTTGTATGTATGTATGTGTGTATGTATGTGTGTATGCATGTATGCATGTATGCATGTATGCCTGTATGTATGTATGGAAGTATGTCTGTCTGTCTGTCTGTCTGTCTGTCTGTCTGTCTGTCTGTCTGTCTGTCTGTCTGTATGCATGCATGCATGCATGCATGCATGCATGCATGCAATGTATGTAGTATGTATGTATATGTATGTATGTATGTATGTATGTATGTATGTATGTATGTTCACGTGTGTAGATCTGTGTCCTTCTGCGTCGCATCGAGGCTCTCCCGCGCGCCGCGCGCGCGCGCCGCCTGCCCCGGCGCGCGCCGCCTGCCCCGGCGCGCGCGCTCGCCCCGCGGGCGGGCCGCCCGAGCCCGCGAGGAGGCCCCGTGGCCGAGCCGCGGGGAGCCGAGTGACCCAGCCACCTCCTCCTCCTCCTCCTCCTCCTCCTACTCCTCCTCTCTCCTCCTCCCTCCTCCTCCTCCTCCTCCTCCTCCTCCTCCTCCTCCTCCTGCTCCTCTCCTCCTCCCTCTCCTTCTCCTCCTCCTCCTCTCCTCCTCCTCCTCCTCCTCCTCCTCCTCCTTACTCCTCCTCCTGCTCCTCACTTTTCCTCCTTAACCTCCTCTTCCTCCTCCTCCTCCTCCTTCTCCTTTTCCTCCTTCTCCTCCTCCTCCTCCTCCTCCTCCTCCTCCTCCTCCTCCAGCCGCCGGCGCGGAGGCGGGGGGAGGGGGGCGGGCTCCTCGGAGGCATCCTTGCTTCCGAGAGGCCTTCCCCCACCCCCCCCCCCTCCACCCCCCCCCCTTGTGCGCCGCGCCCATCCAGCGACGGGGCCCCCGACGTCCGCCGTGCTTCTTCGGGCCGTGCTGCTCTCGGGCCGGCCGGCGGCAACCCGCGCGGCGCAGAGGGGCGCCACCGCGCTGGAAGGCATCGGGGCGCGCCTCGGGAGTGGTGCGATCCACGAGGAGGAGAACGTCACGAACGAAATGGGCACGGGAAGAGCGGGTACAATGCCCAACAGCAGTTCCTGCTCATCTTGGACAGGACTCGCTGTCCGCGCCGCCGCGGCCTGTGTCCATTCGAGACAGAAGGCCGCCTGCCCAACAGCGGCCGCTGTTGGTTTGGGACAACATTTGTTGTTGGGCATTGTACCCATTTTTTCCGTACCCATTTCGGGCGTCCAAATGGAAGGCATCAGGGCGCGCCTCGGGAATGGTGCGATCGACGAGGAGAAGAACCTGGGAGACCGAGAAGATGTGTTGGGGCCCCCTTATTCGGCAACGCGCAGAGGGGGGGTAGGGGGAGGGGGGAAGGCTTCTCAGAAGCACCCCTGCTTCTCAGAAGGCGCTGGCCTTCTCTAAAGACGTAAGGCCGAGGCCTTCTAAGAAGCAGGGTGCTTCTAAGAAGCCTTCCCCCCTCCCCCTACCCCCTTGTGCGCGCCGCCAACTTGTGCCGCACCACCGACGGTACGATCGAGGTGCCAGCCCCCAGTGTCGAGCAGGCTGCACACACGTCGACGGTAGGGCGGAACTTCGGATGTTCGAGAGGTTTTTCGGATGCTTTCGTGGGTGGGCGGCGGCTGGCAGGCCCAGGGCGGCGCTCTCCAGCAGCTGCGCCTCGCCGGGAGGCGGCCGGGGGTGCCCGGACCGTGGCCAAGCGGCAGCCGGAGGCGCGGCCGAGAACCACCCTGAGCTCGGGGCGCTGCAGCTGTTTCACGCTGGGCGCCCTCGCCCAGCTTCGGCCCCCGGGGCTCATCGCAGATCGATCCGGCTCGGAGCATGCAGTGGGAGGCTGTGGTCCAGTCGGGCGGGGCTAGGACGAGGATAAATCCGTTCCAGGGCGTTCCGCCCGACCTCGTCCTCGCCCGATGTTCTCCTCGTCCTAGCCTCGTCTTGTACAGGGCTCGGGTCGCGATGTCCCGCGCTGCTGCCGCTTTTTTTTTGGGGGGGGGGGGGGCGAGGAGGAGAGGAGAGGAAGAGAGGAGGAGGAGGAGGAGGAGGAGGGGAGGAGGGGGAGATAGGGGAGGGGGATGAGGGGGCGGGGGGGAGGGGGAGGGGAGGGGGAGGGGAGGGGGCAAGGAGGAAGGAGGGGGGAGGTGAGGAGGAGGAGGAGGAGAGCAAGAGGAGGAGGAGGAGAGGAGGAGGAGGTAGGCGGAGGCAGAGGAGGCAGGAGGAGAGGAGGAGAGGAGGGGAGGAAAAAATTAATTACTAATAAGAATTTACTAAGATAATAATACAAGAGGAGGAGGAGGAGGAGAAGGAGGCGGAGGAGGAGAGAGGAGGAGAAGGGGAGGCTGAGGGGGAGAAGGGGATGAGGAGTAGGGGAGAGGAGGAGAAGAGTAGAGGAAGGAGGAGGGGAGAGGAGAGGAGGAGGAGGAGGAAGGAGGAGGAGGATCAGGAGGAGGAGGAGGAGAGGAGAGGAGGAGAGGAGGAGAGCAGGAGAGGGAGGAGGAGGAGAGAGGAGGAAGAGGAGGAGGATGAGGAGAGGAGAGGAGGAAGAAAGGAGGAGGAGGAGGAGGAGGAAGCGGAGGAGGATGAGGAGGAGGAGGAGGGAGAGGAGGGGGGAGGAGGAGGAGGAGGAGGAGGAGGAGGAGGGGAGGAGGAGAGGGAGGGAGGAAGGATGATGAGGAGGAGGGGAGGAAGGAGGAGGGGAGGGTGAGGAGGAGGAGGAGGCGAGGTAGCAGATGAGGAGGAGGCGAGGAGGAGGAAAAGGAGGATGAGGAGCAGGAGGATGAGCAGGAGGAGGAGGAGGAGCAGGAGAGAGGAGGGGAGGAGGAGAGGAAGGGGAGGGAGGAGGGGGAGGAGGAGGAGAGGAGGAGGGGAGGAGAGGAGGAGGAGAGAGGAGAGGAGGAGGAGGAGGAGGAGGCAGAGGGGAGTAGGAAGAGAGGGGGCCCGTCGCCGCCCCCGCCGCCGTCCCGGGACGTCTGCGCGGGCCTTCCCGGAGCGCGCTCCGCTGGCACCTGCTCGCCCTGGGGTCCGACGCTGCCACCTTCTCCTCCTCCTCCTCCTCCTCCTCCTCCTCCTCCTCCAGCGACGCCCCAGGCATCGGGGCCTCCTCGCTTGATGCCGCCCTGCGGAGGCGGCCCAGCGAGGACCTGATCGCCACCCGAGCGACGCAAAAAAAGGGGGTCGTCTGCGCCGACATTGACGCGCGGGTTGCCCGCGCAAGGTCGCGCGTGAGCGATCTCGTCTCCAATGCAGCGTTCCGCGCTGGCGGCCTGCGCAAGCCACCGCGTGAGGTCGTTGTGCCATCTCGCGGAAGACCCCTTTTTTGTTCGTCGCCCACCTGACGCGACTCGCGCTGCGCTGCCGCAGCCCAGCGCCGCCGCCCGTACCTCCGCCTCGGCATGAGCTGCGCGAGCACAAAGCCCGAGGCGGGCGCCGCTGCCGCGGCCGCTGCGCCACGAGAGTGCCCCGCAGAGCGCTACGCCGAGCTCACCGGCAGGGCGGAGGTCCACAAGAAGAACATGGACCGCCGCCCCCGAGCACCCGTCGGGGCAGGACCGACCCCTGGGCGGTGGCACGCCGGAGCTTCGTCCTGTGCTGGCTGACGCCGCCCAGGGGGTCGGTTCCCTGCCGATGGGTTCCCGGTGTCGGTGGTCCATGCTTCTCTTTCGAGAGGTGGACGTGAAGCACCTGGGCTTCTCGATCGGCAGCCTCCCCAGGACGCGCCCCGTGGGGCGGGTGGTCGTAAGCACGGTGCGGCCCTGCGGCTGGGCCGCGGCGCTGGGCGTGCGGGAGCGCGACCGCTTGGCCCTGATCGACGGCCACCCGCCCGACGGCATGGCGCCCCGGGAGCTGCTCGCCGCCATGAAGGCCCGGCCGGTGGACTTCATCGACGACGCCCACACGCGGCGAGCCACCGCCGCCCCCTGCCCTTCCCCTGAGACCCTGGCGCTGCAGTTTTTCTTTCACAGCCGGCGTCTGCGCTGGACTTCGGGCCCCGCGGGGCCTTGACAGATCGATCCGGCTCTCAAAGTGGCGCAGAAACATTGCGTCCAGGGCTCCGGCTGCGATGTTGCATTTTTGTTTGCAACGTCGGATCTCAGGGTTTGGGGAGCGTCCGCGCGGCCAAACGTTGGGCCGAAGCCTGTCCAAGCTGTTGGGCTATAGGTGTTCTTCCGCGTCGGATCTCAGGGGCCGCCGCCCCATGCCTTTTGGAAGCGCCCGCGCGGCCAAACGTTGGGCCGAAGCCTGTCCAAGCTATTGGATTATAGGTGTTCCCGCAGCCGCTGCGGACTTCGGCCGCTGGCCTTCGGGCCCGTATGTCGCCACCGTGCCCGCCTCGGGGCCACCTTGGGCCCCCTCTGCGGCCCTCTCGGGCCCGTCTTGGAGCCCTCTTGGGCCCGCCTTTGGGGCCCCGTCGGGGCCGTGGGGGGGCCCCCTCGGGCCCGCCTGGCGGCCCAGGCCTGGGCCCGACTCGAGCATTTGCGGTCCGGGCCCCTTCGTCAGTCGATCCATGGATTCGTCATGAATTAACTAGTTTGGGCTGCGCGCCACTGGCGCGCCGGCAGAGGCAAGGCCACCAGCACGCCTACCTCTTTTCACCCTTTACCTGAGGATGCTCCAACCCGTGCCTCGGGGCACGGTGGCGGACCTTCCACCGCTGCGACCGGACCGGTCCGCAGCCTGGCGCGCGCCCCGCGGGCGAGCGCCGGGCCGCCCCGCTCCAGTGGCGCTCCGCCGTGGCGGCGGCTGCGCTCGCGTCGCCCGCGCCCGGCGCTGCGCAGCACGGCGCCTCCGCTGCGCAGCGCTCGCCGGCACCGCCCGCGGCGGCGGCGGCGCTCGCGTCGCCCGCGCAGGGCAGCGCGACGCAGCACGACGGCTCCGCTGCGCAGCACCCGCCGGCGCCGCCGGAGGAGGCCGCGAGGAGCGCCCGCGCCCCGCCGCGGCCGCAGAGCGGCCCGCCCCGCAGCGAGGCCCCAGCCTCGGAGGCAGGGGGCCGAGGCGCCCGCGCGGCCGGCGGAGGTGCCGAGCTTGGGGCGAGCGGGCCCGAGCCCGAGCGCGCGCAGGAGCCCCCAAGGGCTTCGAGTGGGGGGTCGACAGCAGAGTTGGTGTACCCCAGAGTGCACAATGCCGCCGAGTCCGCGGGCTTCGAGCGGGCCGCGCGAAGCTTGAATTTGGCAGAGAAGAGGAGACCTCCGCAAAAACACCTAGGGTGCTGGATCGATCTACGGAGCATTCGACGTATACTCTCCGAAGGTTCGACGGGCAACACATGTCTGGGGCAAGTCAATTCTGTAGTCGATCCCCTACTCGAGGGTTTCACGCCTCTTCGCCAACCGAAGTGCGGGGCTCAAGCCAGATACATCGATGCAGATCCAGGCAGAAGCAGGTCGACTGCAGGCGAGCCTAGGCAAATGCGGGCAAACCTCGGTAAACCCTACCATCCGACGGCGCGCGAAAAGCGCAACATCACGAACAATCACGACCGGAGCCCTACAGCCCCCATCTTTCTGCGCCATTCTTCGAGGCGGATCGATATGTGGTGGCGCTGGGGCCCGAAGACGGGCGCACACGCCAGGTGTGAAAAAATCGCAGCGCCCGGATCTCAGCAGCAGCAGTCGTTCACCGTCGGCCTGCACCCTCCGCACCCTCCGCGCGGCAGGCGCCGCGCGGAGGGTGCGGAGGATGCAGGCCGAGGGAAGTCTTCCACGGAGGAGGCGAGCGGCCCGGCGGCGCCGCAGCCGCGGGGCGGCGTGCCTCCCGAGCGGGCCGCCGCCGAGCTGGAGGCGGCGCGGGCCGACCTGGCGCGGGCCCGGGAGGAGTGCGCGCAGGGCCAGCAGCGGCTCAGGGAGGCTCCCGGGGGCAACGATAGCTGGGAGGGGGGGCTCAGGCTCAGGGGGGCGGATGTCTCGACGAGGTGTTCCTCCTCCTCGTCCTGCTCCTCCTCCTCCTCCTCTTCCTCCTCGTCCGTGGTTGTCATGTCCATGTCAGCCTCTCCTCCTCGTCCGCCCTATTTCTGTAATTACTCCATTGTGTGCCGCCGTTGTGGCTCACAAGGCTTTTGATTCACCTGGCGCGCAGGCGACGGGCGCGCCCTGGCCCCCGTAAAAGGAAAGAGAACGTGCTCTCTCACAGCACGGGTCCCCCCATTTGTGTTTCGTGTCTCTCTGTGTTCCATCCAGCTCCTTCCGTACAGTCCACAGTGGCAGCGGAGCCAGTGGTTGCGATCCACGAGGGGAGTCAGGCCGACTCCCCTGTCATTCGACTTTCGGGTGACATCTTCCACATTCTTCGCCCGTTTTTCCCGATGTTCACCCTCTTGCACCGAGCGCCGCCAGGGATTTTCCAGACGACGCTCAGCCTTGAGAAGATGAGCTTCCAGCGGATCCTTGGTCACAACCAGAACAGGATCTTTGGGCAGGAGGCGGAGGACGATAATACGCTCCTTGGGAAAAGGTGATGACGATGTGGGCTGGTCAGATCAAGACTGGGTCCTCTTGTTCTCGCAGCGCTGGACGGACCCACTACGCAATCATCCTCATGAGGTTGGAACGCGCGGGGCCGTCGTTCGCCGGCTGCACCAGGTCGGTTGAACACGCCTCTGCGGGGACAGGCTATGACTTTGACCCCTTTCGCTCCGACTTCTTGGGGAGATACCACTGCCAGATCTTCTGGTCGCCAGAGGGGTCAATGTCCTGAACAATCGGAGGCCCCAAAGATACCAATCGACCTGTTTCCCACTTGGGATGGAAAGGGCATGATACTCGTTTAGACCTCTACATGCAAGGGTTGCAGATGTGTCTCGCTACTACCAGATACCTGGGGGCACAACGCGGATACTTCATTTACCGTTACGCCGCGGCTGACCTCAATATCATTGTCAACGAATTCACCGAAGACCAGCGGTCTGCGGAGGATAGCAGGCGGGGTGTGGTCAAACATATTAAGAAGTCTTTCGCCGAGTACCAAGATCGCAGCATGCCGAAGGATTTTGACAAACTTTTATATTCGGACGACACCAAGTAAGCGAGACGAGCTCCTGGTCAATTATGTCGCTCGCGCGCGAGTGCTCTTCCCAGAAGTCGAGTCACATTTGATCCTGCAGGAGGAACTGAAAGGGTATATGCTTCTTAGAGAATCCAAGCTCAGTGAAGCTGCTTGGGGTACGGTTGAGCACTGGACTGAGGGGGCATATGATTTTGGCTTGGTGTTTGAAAAGCTTCGGAACCTTGAACGACCGCTACCCTCCGGTACAGGTGGCCATCATTTCCGTGGAATGAGTTCCGCTTCGCAGTTCGTCGGACACCAAGGAGACGAAGAGTATATGAAGACCAGAAGTCTGACCGCGACGACTTCCAATGGCTTATTATTTGCCCGAGTCCTACGAGGAAGGCGAGATTGAGTTTCTCAAGTACATGGACGACCAAAACGTACTCTTCGTAGCTGGGGCATACCCGAGGATGCTGCTGACGTTACTTACAGTCAGGTACGAAAGTATTCGCACGAGCGGAAGGTAGGACGAGGCTTTTCCAAGTTTTCTCGCCCAAGAGGTAAGTAAGTCCAAAGGCTGCCGCGAGGGGGGGCGTCGAGGGGGGCGAACTGCATATGTTCGGCCGAAGCGGTGGACCAACAGTAAATTAATGAGCCGCTCGAAGTGTGCCCGATGTGGGAAGATGGGGCACTGCGCTCAGGGCTGTGCGAATGAGCCAGACGAGCGAGGACGCAAGCGGCAAGCAGGCTTCGGCGGTTTCCATGCTGTTCCTCTTGAAGCAGATGACGTCCTGCGTGGCGTTTGTCAACAGGAACCCACGATCCAGTCTGGATTCAGTTCTTTTACATGTTCCTATCTCTGCTACTGCTGAATCTGGTGAGCAGGTTTTTATTGGGCTTCAGGTTCGGATGGGTTTCTGCTTTTAGTGGATACTGGAGCTCAGCATGGAGTCGGCGGCAAAGATCGGTCTCATAAAATGGTGAGATATATTGGGGGTGTGTCAGCTTCAAGCCAGCACAGGTACCTTCCCTTGAAATGGGCGCCATGGGCGTTGGAGGATCAACCGAGTTTCTCTCCAGCTGGACCCTGCCTGCTGCCGTGGCAAAGAAGTTCGGTGCTCTGGCGGATCATATGATTGCCAGTGGCGTGCCTGTATTGTTTCCAGTGGAGATGCTCAGGCAGCTCTCCATTGCTCTTGACCTCCCAGGTGGCGCCGTCACCTGGGCGGCGCTCGACGGCAGTCAATCGAGGTTGCGCGGAGTAGGGGCAGGCAGACTCACGGCGACGCATATTTCCGATTTTCCTGATGATGGTCGGGAGAGAAAGCAGAACATCAGAAACATCTCTCCAACTATTCAGGGATATTACCAGGTCGTCGAGCCTGAGGACGCCGCATTCTACGCGAATCCGCAGGCACTCTCGGGCCAGACCAGTCTTTCTCAGCCAACTGCCGCCTCCCCTGGCACCTCGTGCGACGCTGGCTCGCGCGGGGCGCGCCCTCGCCAGGCAGGGGCCGCAGCCGGAACCTCCCAGCGCCGGCAGGTCCAGCCGGTCCCTGATGACCCCAGAGAAGCGGGCGTGGAAATGGTACCCATTGTGCCTGAAGCTATTCACCGCCCTGGACCGCGCGGCCATGAAGCGCCGCCCGGGGGCGCGCATCGATGCGAACGCCCATGGGAACTTGCTCGGGGGCGCCGGGAGTCTGGACCACGAGGCTGCGCCATCAACGTTTCGCCCGCGCGATCCGAGGCCTTCCGCTCGAGTCTGGGTGATCTCCAGCGGGGGGCGGTTCGCGGTGGGCAAGAGGCTGGAGCGCGGCGGCGCGGGCACCGCGGAGACCGATCGGGCCGCGCGCAGGCGCCCCGAGGAGGCCATGCGCCATCGGGGC